CCCCCCAGTCCCCACCCAGCTCTTGCCCACCCCCCTCACCTAGTCTTGCACTGCCTCCTAGCCACCAGCTTCTCTAAGGCTGCTGTGCCAGGCTCTGCGTGGCCCTCCTGCCATGCAGCAAAGCGCTCTTCTATGTCTTGGAAGAAATCCCTCCTCTGCCCAGGGCTGGTTAGCTGAGAGGTGAGGCAGGACACACCTCTCCAAACAGCCATGGTAGGAGCGCTGTACCCCAGACCCAGACCCCAGAGCTGCCACGGCACTGCAGCTTGCCCAGCAGTTGGGAACTGCTGCAATAATGGATAAATGGCTTGGGAAAGGACTTGAGAAGGGTGGTCAGTAATTAAATGAGTTGGGGATTCTTATGATTGGTATGGCAGGGAGCCAACACCCCCATTATGAGAGTCCACCCACCCTGTCCTGTGAGAGGGGGGTTGGTAAGTTCCTAGCAATAGATTTACTGGAAGGACATGGGTTGAAAAGGGGCAGGAGTGCTGGTAAAAACATCCCTCCCCACTAGTTAATTATGGGAGAAAACATCTGTTGGGTAGTACCAGACATTTAATAATAAAGGTTCAGCCTCATTAAACCTGTATCAAATGTCTCCTGTCCTTCTTTCTGTATAGCCAGACAATGCCAGGAGATGGAGGAGCAAAGAGGGGAGCAAGCTTTAGATTTGCCCTCGCTCTCTCTCTCTGGATTAATGACTATTCATCCTCATTATGAATGACTTTATTGTCCTTCACAGGGGCAATTAATAATGATAATAAAGCCACCGAGAGATCAAGAACAACAGTAACTTTGTAGCCTGGTGGTTAGGGCTGTCACTTAAAATATAGTGGACTCAGGTTCATGTGTCTGTTCTGGGTGCTATTTAATTATTCACAGTGGAACAGTTTCAACACTCCCTACTATACCATAACCCAGGGTATGTCTACACTACCCCGCTAGTTCGAACTAGTGGGGGTAATGTAGTCATCCGCAATTGCAAATGAAGCCCGGGATTTGAATTTCCCGG